TAGTGGCCACATCTAATGCATCTAGAAATTGCTCCTCCATGTCCCTGTTTTCCTTGTTCTCATTCAACTCAAAATCATGATTAGTATAGAATAATTCGTTACGCATATCAGAGACAATGGAATCAACAGTGTCAACCATCATGCAATTATCAGAAGTAGAACAAGGATATTTCATATTTTTATTTAAATCAAAATCTAAAACCTCCTTTCCTACTTTCAATGAAATCTTGGCACCCTTTACATCAATAAGGGCCCCCGAAGTAGCTAGGAAAGGACGTCCTAGAATTATAGGTATATGAACATCCTCATCCATATCTAGGACCACAAAGTCAACAGGTATGACAAACTTCCCCACCCTTAGGGGAACATCTTCCACTTTACCCTTTGGAAATTTGATCGATCGATCGGCTAATTGAAGGGATATGTTAGTGGGAAGAAGTTCTCCTATATTTAATCGTTGATAAACAGAATATGGCATGAGACTAACACTAGCTCCAAGATCACACAAAGCATTATCAATATTCATTTTGTTTATAGCACAAGGGATTGAAAAGCTACCCGGATCTCCTAACTTAGGAGGCATTTTGTTCATTATTATAGTACTACAGTGTTCAGTGAGGTTAACAGTTTCTACCCCTTCACAGTTTCTTCTACCACTCAATATATCTTTTAAAAACCTAGCATAGTTAGGCATTTGTTTTATAGCGTCGGTGAATGGTATGGAAAAGGTGAATTTGCTTCAAAGTATCTAAAAACTTACCGAATTGAACATCCAACTTATGTCTCACAAACTTATGGGGGTAAGGAATTTTTTGCAATAGATTGGGTTCTTTGACTTGTGTTACTTCCTTTTCATTTAGGACCTCTACAGTTTTATCATTCTCTCCGGTCCTCTCCTCCTCACTCTCTATAACAGTATCAGTGGTAGGTGTAGTCACAGATTGACTCCTAGGGGGTACTACTTCATCGCTCCCCCTCAATGTCTTTCCACTCCTAGTGGTGATAGCATTTACAGTGTTTTTAGGGTCAATACCTTGAGGCGGTAGTTTTGAAACTCCAACCCCATCTTTTATAGCACTAGCCAACTGAGAAATCTGGGTTTCAAGCATCTTATTATGTGTCATCACTTCACTAAACTTTTTATCAGTGGTGGACATAAAAGTGTTGAACATTTTGGCCTGGGACTCCATCATTTCCTCCAAGCTAGATCTCTGTGGTGGTCCATGAGCATAATAATTATCATTTGTAGCTCGGGAACCACGCACATTAGATTGTTGGGGATTTTGATTAGAGTACCCCTTATTATTATTCCAGTTTCCCCTATTATTAATGCCGTTTCCCCCTTGATTGAATTTCCCTTGGGAATTATGATTCATTTGATTACCCTGTTGGTATTGGTTTTGATTTCCAAAACCACCATGTTAATTATAGGGTCCTTGGGAATTTTGGTCCCTTTGGCCCCTATTTCCCCACTGGTTTTGATAATCAAAATCATTACCTCCCTGATTATAATTGTTCCCTCTTTGATTAGGTGGCAGATATCTATTATTGTCATTCCTAGGTCCGTTATCATAAGACATAGCATTGACCTGTTCATTATTATATCTATTACCATCATTATTATTAGGATCATATGAGGGATCAAAATTACAAGCATTAGTATAATGATCATAAGACCCACAGTTTTCACAGAAAATACATCCTACAGGCATATTAGAAACGGAAGGATTAGGATTCATACCTCTCCCCTTAGATTGGGAGGGAAGATCTTGCAATGGCACGGAATCGAGTTTGGCTTTAACCACTGACATCTCCTTCCCGAGGTTCGTAATTTGTGATGTCAGGTTGCTAATGGTATTGAGGTGGTCCACTGAATAGGAGGTGGTCCACTGAATAGACCGCTCCTCCACTCTTGTTCACAGCATCTCGCTCGCCGTCTTGCCAATCCATGTGGTGTCGTACCACATCTTCGATAATATCTATGACTTGCTCTTCAGTTTTGTTCATTATTGGGCCACCTGCTCCCGCATCAAAACTGGTCTTCCCTTGAGGACTCAATCCTCCATAGAAAATCTGTAAAACTTGATATGTTGGGATTCCGTGGTGTGGGCACTCTCTTTGGTACTCCTTGTACCTTTCCCATGCTTCATAGATCGACTCCCCACTCCTTTGTCGAAACCCTTGAATCAAGGCTCTAGCATCGGCCGTCTTCTTTTGAGAATAGAATCTTCCCAAAAATGCTGTCGTGACATCATCCCAAGTGTGTAGAGAGTTCGGCTTCACCTCCTTCTCTAACCATTTGAGAGCTCTCCCAATAAGTGAAAAGGGGAAAAGCTTCAATCTCACGAACTCTTGATTCACCCCATTAACCTTGATGGTATTGCAGTACTTCTCAAATTCGTTCAAATGAGCCAAAGGGCTCTCATGCTTGGCACCACTAAACTGCCTTCTCTCGATGAGGGTGATCATAGCCGGCCGGATCTCGAAATCATTGGCCTCAGTAGTGGGTGGAGCAATCCCACTTGAAGCTCTATACGCCCCAGGAGTTCCCAACTCCTTAAGGGGTCGTGGTGCTGGCCGATTGGGTTGGCGCGGTATGTCTTCCATTGGAACCTGTTGTGTGTTGTGTTCCTTTCCTTGAGAGTTTGATGACGTCAATCGAGATTTACGATTGCTCTTCAAAGTTCTTTCGATTTCTGGATCGAAGGGTATTAATTCTCTCTGTTTAGACCTGCGCATACACACTAACCAGACCAATTAAATAGAAGGGCTACAAGTGTAGCCAAAAGGGAAAAATCTTTTTGTGCTTTTTTATGATGAACTAGACTCAAGAAATCAAAAAGCAATTAACAAACACCGCTCCCCGGCAACGGCGCCATTTTGACGAGGGTTAAATCGGCCGCTACAATCTAACTCTCAATCAAACAATACTTATACGAACACCCTATAACCAAGTACAATGGCAAATAAAGGTTCGGTCCACGAGGAACGTGAGTAATTGCAAATCAATCTTAAACCTAAGCTAGTTCGAAATCAATGGAAAATGGTGTTCTAAAATACTACTAATAAGATGGAATAAATCAATAAACTAAGACACTAGGGAGAACGGGAATCCGCCTAACCATTGGTAACTAAGCAACAAGGAATCACAGAGACAAACGGGATATGCAAAGACTATAAGTCTGATCAATATCATGTGATAGGAAGACAACGGGCAATACTAAGCTTGGATTTCTCATGCACTTAACATTACTCGATACATAATCAAACCACATTCAATAATGAAATACTCAATTCACAATCTCTTGTTCAAATCAAGGATATCATGCAATCAAATTCAAGATTCTAGGTTAGCTACTCCTATTATAATGAATTAACATGCAATCGCATATAATCAATTTAATCACAATCCGTTTATCAAAATCAATCCTCAATTACATAGATTACCTAGGCCGGGTTTCATCCCGAAACCCTAGCTAGGAGACTACTCACACATATTCATAATCAAAGCAATAATGAATTCCAAAAGCATAATAGATATAAACATGAATTCTGATTAAGGAATAATAAAGCTTGATTAATAAACAAGAATGAATAATACCAATTGTATTGATGCGAATCAATGGAAAAGTTCAGAACTTTGATATCCGTCGTCAATGAATAATACAAAGAATCTTCACAAATCTTGCTTCAAATCAATCCAAGAAAACTAAAATCGCTAGAAATATCTCTAAGAAAACTAATGAATCTCTAATACTAAGAACGTTCTCCAATAACTCTCTACAAAGGCTCTCAAAACTATCTCTAAAAAAACTGTCTCTAAATCTCTTAAAGTTGGGCTTTATATACGTCTTCTAATGCGGAGAAGTCAAGCGCGCAGTTAACCCTGGATCAGCACGGCCGTGCTGTATTTGGCACGGTCGTGCTAGCTTGTCAGTAAGTAAACCGGATTTCTTCTTCAAATTGGCACGGCCGTGCTATATATGGCACGGCCGTGCAGCTTCCTGGCACGGCCGTGCTAAAAATGACACGGCCGTGCTGAATATGCTCTAGCTCGGGGCTCATACTGAAGCTGACACGGGCACGGGCAACATCTGGCACGGCCGTGCTAATGGCCTGCACGGCCGTGCGGGTGTGTGGATACTGACACGGCCGTGCTATTGGCTTGCACGGCCGTGCTGCCTTGCCTGGGGTTGCTTGCTTATAGGCCAGCACGGGTGTGCCTATGGTAACACGGCCGTGCTGCCTGTGCTATGTAATCAATGCACGGCACTTGAACTTCCTTAACTCCTCGGACTCCGGTCAAGGCTAGCTCGGTTACGCATCAAGGGCTCGGGATCCGATTAAACTCGGTTGATATTACCTGAAAACACATCAAAAACAAATCGAAAACCCGTGAAGCACGTAATATGGGGAACGTAAGCATAACAAGGTAATAATCGGCCAAAGCGGCCCCAAATACATCCAAAATCATCCTAAAATATGCTCTAAAGCGCGCCCTAAAGTGCGCTTGTCAATGAACTCTTCACATACCAACCCCCAACTTTCCTCATGCCCCAAACACAATCCCAACCCACTACAGAAACACCCAGAGGGGGTACGAATAGAAGAGATAGGGAAATGGGACATGTCAGGCTGTTTAATGATTGTTTTTTCCGATAATCCCGTGTACAACACCAACCAATTTAGAAGGAGATTTCGAATGCAACAACCTTTATTTTTACGTATAATGAACAAGGTCGTTGAAGGTGATGTTTACTTCCAGTAGCGTAGGGATGCAGCTGGAAAATTCGGCTTATCACCTCTGCAAAAATGTACAGCTGCGATAAGAATGTTAGCCTACGGCTTGGCTGCAGACGCCGTGGATGAATGCGTTCGAATAAGTCAGTCAATCGCTCGAGTTACCCTTCAACGTTTTTGTACCGGGGTCATTGATCAGTTCGGAACCGAGTACCTGCGAAACCCTACAACTGATGATTTGGCCCAAATACTGCATCAAAATGATGCGTGGTTTTCCTGACATGATAGGTAGCATTGATTGTATGCATTGGGAATGGAAGAACTGTCCAACCACTTGGAAAGCGCAGTACGCTGGTAGAAATAAGAAAGCAACGCTAGTACTGAAAGCCGTCGCGGATCAGGATTTATGGATCTAGCATTCCTTCTTTGGTATTCCCGGATCTTGTAATGATCTTAATGTGTTGCACCTTTCACTAGTGTTCGATGAGGTTCTGCATGGTCGAGCTCCTCCGGTAAATTTTACAGTTAACGGCCATGAATACAACATGGCTTATTACTTAGCCGACGACATTTATCCAAAATGGGCAAATTTTATTCAGGGTATCACACACCCTCAACTTCATGAAGATAAAATGTTCGCTGACCACCAGGCTGCTGCTCGGAAGGATGTTGAAAGAGCTTTCGGTGTTTTGCAAGCTCGATTTGCAATAATACGAAAACCATCACTGGCGTACGATGAGGACATACTGCGGGACATAATGAAAACATGTATCATTATGCACAACATGATTGTTGAAGATAAGCGACACAACTACACTCGAGCCGAAATTATAAGAAGCTTCTACGAAGAAGATCAACAAAATTTACACAACAGCATCAACGTCTACAACGCCACCGTTTGAATTCAACGTAGGCCGACCTACCAACTTTGACTTTACCTCATTTCTACAACGAAAATCTTCCCTCCGTGATAGAGAAACTCATCTATCTCTGAAAAGTGATTTAGTCGAACATATTTGGTTACAACACGGGCCAACTAATTAGGGAAAAATTAGCACGACTTAAATAAGGCCAACTACTATGGCCTATCTACTTTTCCGTGCGCAGTCGTGTTTTTTTTTAATTGATTGTTTATTTTATTCCCTAACTTTAATTACGCATGACGTTTCAAATGTAATCGGTTTCTAGTATTGTACCGCTTTTTAAAATAAATAAAAACATTTACGAAATTTTTAGCGTTTTGTTACCATTATTTCTTCTAACATACATAATTTAACGACATATTTTACCGATAAAAACAACACAAATAAAAAAAATAATTTACACATATTTAGACTAGTTTTTATTTAATTGGAGTAATATTGTTAAAATATAAATGAAATTAATAATAAAGAAGTGTTGTGTAGGAGAGAGAAAGTAATGGTGGGGTATTGAAAAAGTAAGAGAGAGAGTGGTGGGCAAGCATTATTTTTGCTCACCATTGGGAGAGAAATTGTGAAAAAAAAATTGCCCATGGGCAAAACTGATTTGTTGAGAGAGAAAGTGGGTAGAGAGATATTGGGAAAGCATTATTTTGCCCACCATTGGAAGTGGTCTTATGAATGTTGAATATGATAAAATTATAATGTCAATAAAGTGTTTCAACAAAAGATAATAACTTTTTTGTATTTACTAAGATATTAACTTTTTTTAATAATGTAATAACAAAAAATTGATTGATATTTTACATTTTCGAATTAGACATATAATATAGTTGTCAAACACTACATTTATTTTATGGTCATATCTAATACTCCATTAGTCTAATAAACAAAATAAATAAATAAGTAAATTGGAAAAAATATATTAAAGTGATGTTTTAAAATCAATTACTTCGATATGAATCAATTTTATTATTACTTTTTCGGTAAAACTCAATAATACTCGTTTAAAAGATAATTAAAAAAGAGTTGGAAAACTATTTAAGGTAAATGTGCATGGAAAATTTTAGAACACAATAAATAGGAATACATTTTATATAGAGATAATATCTAAGTTTGGAATACTAAATTATTATAGCTTTATTATAAAAATATTCGAAAAATAAAATATTTTTTGCTAAAAGGAGGGGGGGAGTTTTGGAGGGGAAAAACAGCACCAGAATGTGACACATGTCAATCCCGGTGTCTGTTTTAGTATTAAGTTATTGATTGATTGATTATAATTAATTGGATCTTGTTTACGAATAAACAATAAAAATATTTATGAAAATGGAATTAATTTAGGAATGCATGTCAAATCACGTGTTGATCAGTGCAATAAAGTTCATTTTAATTTAATATTTTTAATTTTAGTTATCCCTTGGTCGTTTGTAAGTTACTCCCTCTATCCCTTAATTTTTATCCCATTGCAAAAATATGGGTCAAACTTTTAAAATTTTGACCATGAATTCTCGTTGATATATAAGTGATAATATATTCATGTGGGATTTAATTAGAACCGTCTCATTGTATAGTTTATTAATATCAAATTTTTATAATTTTTACGCATATAGAAATGGAGATATATACGTTTGAAGACGTGTCTTGAAAACCGTAAAAAGTCAAATAGGACAAAAAATAAGGACAGACGGAATATTGCCTAATGAAAATTATAAATAATTTTTTTTCTTTTAAGATATTAATTAAAAATGAAGCACGCCTTATGGGCAGTTGTCCACGTGGTGTGCAGTCCCCACCTTGGACATCGCCTTCCGATTAATGCGGCGAATGGATAAGTTTGCTTTCTAGTGTACTCATTTTATTTTATTATTTTTTTTTTCTTTTTTTGTCTACCTACGTATTAGTTGCTCCGTACATAACTACATAACGAAGTTGGTCCTATGGATGGCAGTGGGTTGAGTTTAATGGAAGACCCGCCCCATACCTGCCCTAGTGGGGCAGGGATGGAGGAAGGGTTAGCGGGTGATGGGCAGGGATTGTTACAAAATGTATACCCGCCTGGGTGATAAGACAGATATGGATTTCAGAGTAGACCCGCCTCATACCTGCCCCGTCCCATACCCACCTTATACCCGCCTATATTTCCTTTAGAAGAATTTAGAATTTATGAAACTTACCCCCTAAGACCCAATTCGCCCAAACAGTAAGGGTCCTAAATTTTTTAATCTAATTTGATATAATTGTCATCAATGTGATACAATATAGCATCATGGCAGTGGGTTTGAGACGGTTTTAAGGTGGGTATAGATATCCAAGTGGGTGTTGGGGCTAAGATCTTGTACCCGACGGGGCGGGTATAGATGTGGATATTGTACCCACCACGGGTGGTGGGGCGGGAATGGATATAAGATTTTTAAGCGGGTATGGGTATGGAGGTACCATCCTCCGCATCTGACCCGCCCCATTGCGTGCCATCCCTACTTGGTCCTCTCCCCCTCTACTCTTAGTCAATAACTGTAATTAGATTGACATATTGTTATATTTACCTAATTTTCACTTAAATAAATTTATTAAAAGTTATGTTGGCAAGATTAGCCCTGTCTTTGTCTTAAAAAAAATTTCCCATGCCACATAATATTTTAATAATTTTTAATATTTTATAATTATGTTAAAACTCTTTAAGATTAAACTAAATTTAGATCTTCATTCCTCAAACTCATTTAAGATTTCTTAAATACATGTACTATTTTTATTTTCCTTTTTTTTATATATCATTTTTTAATAGTATAATTTTGAAATGGTGTTGCAAGTTACATATCTTACATAGCTGAAAAATAATATTAAACAACTAGATACAAAATTATAAATAATAATGAAATTACATGAATATCGTGATATATATATACATAATATCATAGTCGTAAAATTTACAATTTTTTGTAATTTAAATTTGTTGATGAAAATAATAGTAAATAATAGAATACTTTAGATTAAAATACAACAAAAAATAGAAAATAAAGGAATACTTTATATTAAAATACAACAAACGATTTTATCAATAAAATAAATATAACAGTCAATTGCAATTAAATTTACACTTTACATTTTTTTGAATAAATTAAATCAAATTATTGTTAACGATAATATTTTTCAGGAAAAAAAAAAAAAAAAGTTGAGCTATGATATACGTGTATAAGCAAAATACAGTGTATAAAGTATTTAGATGAGTCTTAAGTTGAGTCTTAAATTTTCAAAACTCCATTTAAGACTTTGTTAAGACTTTGCTTCATAAGTGCATAATTTTTGTAAAGTTTTGTCTTAAGACAATTTAAAGGTGATTTGCTGATGTCATGTATAGTCTTAATACCTAGGGCTAATCTTGCTATACCTGTAAATGAGCAACTTTTATAATAACTTATTTTTCCTGATTTTCTCTTATCTAAATTGATAAGTGTTAAAATTAGTAAAAATAAGATAAACAAAACAGAGCTTCGTATGATTTCTAATCTTATCAAAGATACTACTAAAAAATATTTGATCACGCTACAATTCTACATAGTAAAACACAACATGAAATCAAAATTTTCGAGAATATTCTTTTAGCTTGATTTTTTTTTTTTTTTTTTTTTTTTTAAAAAAAAAATTTAAAAATAAAATTATATTCATACTTCCTATATGCTTAAGATGAGTTGGTCAAAATCCATTCTTTTTCCTTCAAAAGATACTCTACATTTGGAATACCCCAATTATTACTTATCTTGGCATATGATCTTTTCATTCCATTAGCTTTTGTTTTTTTTAAAGTTTTTTCTAATCAAGATCAAGACATCTTATAGATAGGTCAACATTCCTACACAAAACTCCGAAGAAGGGAAAGTTAGGGAAAGAAATAGAGAATCTCCATTCGGAAGAATCATATGTAGTTGATATCGAATAGATGAAGCTATGACTTTAAGATCATAATCAACTACACTACATAAGAAATGCTGCAACTAAATTTCGGATGAAAGAAACAGTTGTTGCAAGTATTCAGAGACGAGATAATGGTATTTTATTTATTTTTCTTATTAAGTAAGTATATGTAAAACTATGGGACTAGATTAATTACATGTTTTTTTTTTCTCTTAAAATGAAGTAAATATAAACACCTTATAAGTTGATAACTAGTGTGCGGCCCGGGCGTTGTACCGGATTACCGCTTTGATTAAATTTATTTATTTTATTTTTTTTTATGAAATTTTTTCTATCATCATTTTTCCCCCTTTTTTTCAAATATGTTTTATAATTGTGGTATTATAATTTATGAATTGATAAAGCATAGGTTGTTTGAGTATATTGTGCACAAATGTTAAGCATAATGTTACTAATTAACATTGTTAAAAAAAATGCTATTAATTAACAAAAAGTATAGGAACATAATTTCTAACTCTCCATTATTTGGAAAATGTTGATTATATTCCTCTTATTTATTTATTTATTTATTTATTTATTTTTATCAAGTTGCATATCTAGTTTTTCCTTTTTATTTTGAGACTGCCATTTATAGTTGTATTTATTTTAAAAAAATAACATGATTCATTATTGGCTAAGATGGTAAGGAGTTTGAACTTTCTTCCCTAAGGTTTAGTGTTTGAAACCCATGATAGGCTTTTTTATATTAATTTGTCAATAATGTTACTCTTGTTTTGTTAAGTGGTGATGACGTGTTATTAAGTGATGATGTGGCACAATGCTTGTTAAGGAGGGAATGACGTGACACATAAACGTTTTTAGAAAGACTTTCTAATATATTAGTATAAATTTTTTGTATAAGTTATTTAGTTGGTCATTAACATACAAATAATTCCTCCCATCCACCTAAAAAAAAGCGTATAAATAATTTTATGGAGTTGCCAATTCAACTTGCTACCTTGATAAATATTTTTTTTTTTTAAAAAGTTGAATTAGGAAAAAGGCCAAAATTATTATGAGGAAGAAACCAA